TCCCAGATTCTGCCTACAGAATTGCAAAGTGATTGTATCAGTTTTCACACCCTTCGGGCTGGGAAGGTGGCTCAGTGGTAGAGCTCTTGGCTTGCATGCATGAGGCCCTAGGTTCGATTCTCCAGCACCACATAAGCAAAAAGAAAAAAGCCAGAAGTGGCACTGTGGCTCAAGTGGTAGAGGCTAGCCTTGAGCTGAGGAGCTGAGGGACAGCGCCCAGGCCCAGAGTTCAGGCCCCACAACTGGACCCAAAAAAAAAAAAACAGTTTTCACACCCTTTACCAATAAAAGTTACAGTTGTGTCATTAAATCACCAATATTTGGTTTCTTTTCATTTTAGCTGGCTCAATATATGTCATTTTATCATTTTTGAGGTGTAGGTCCTATTTGTTTCATTGCTTATAGCACAAGAGATAAGATAGCACTAAAAATAGTTTCATTTGAATATTTAGTATACTGCACATGTAGAATTACAGACTTTTGCAGTATGCACCAGCATTTTTAACATATGTTAAGGATTTGATGTTCAGAAGAATATACATTTCAACTTATTGCAGACTATTTCTGACAGTTTCTAAGGGAAAAATGTACATAAAATCAATTACCAGTAGCATGCAAATGTATTTAAAATCATAACAGAAATCTCCTAATCATGTTGCTACTGAAAATTGCTTTGTTTTATTCTTAGATCACAAATTGGCAAACTGCTGCCATGGGGCCAATCCCACATGCCTCCTGTTTCTGTAAATGTTAATTAGAAGACTCCAGTGTCCATTTCTTTACATGTTTTCTGTGGCTACTCTTACAAAGTGAGAGTTGAATAACTATACTGAATGGCCTTCAAATTTGAGATTTTTTTTTGCTGTCTGATCCTTTACAGAAAATATTTGGAAGATACCAATACTATGTAATTCTATGCCATTTTATTTTCTTGTGGAGATTAAAGATGTTTTCGTTGTGAGAAATAAAACAGCCAAAATAAAATCAGCTAATCCAAAAACACTGCTGTCATAAAATCAGAACTTTTGGAATAGATCATCGGACAGTTTTGCAATTTTGCCTTGTTCTCTGAAGTTTTCCATGTCTGTACTATTGCTGTAAGAGCTTGTTGTCTGTTAAATCATTTTACTAACTACAGCCTCTTGAGATTGACTACTGTTGACTTGATTCATTTGATCATGAGTATTGTTACCTACTATGTGTTACACAAGCAAGATCTCTCTGTATATCAGCTACAGCTATGTTTAACACCTTCAAAATAAAAGGAACATGTACTGTTTTATAAAGCTTAGTTTCACATGTATTTGGTTTGGATGTTTTACAAAGTCTCTTTGCTGCATTCTTTTAGGAAGAGCGTACCATAATGTGGCTGAGATTTGTTTTCAGAACCTTTTCCAATTGAACAATGTCATTCTAATAGGAACTTAACTAAATTTGTCATTGTTAGAATTTGTGGATCATTTTTATATGACCCGGCCTCTGTGAGTCAACTGTTTTTATTCCAAATTCCTCAGCATATTTCCTAAGACCAAATATTTTAAACAAGTGGTTCACACAGAACTCCTCAAGTTCTCGTTATTCCTGAGGGCTTCTAAATTTCAGCATGTGAATTTTCAAATTAACCTTCTCAAGGGCATTGTCTCCTTCCCTCATCTGCCGAGTTGTTTGCCAGCTCCCACGATCAACAGATAAGGGATGAACTGATGAAACTGGCCAGTTATAAAATGTTTTCAGAGGTTCCCTCCACCACCACCTTTTTTCTTTTTTCCTTTTCAGAATGAGAAAGATTGAACTCAGGGTCTTCCACTGGCCACACAAGCGCTTTTCCACTGAAGTAAATCCCCCTCCCCTTATCGTCCCATTTTTATCTAGATTTCCAAATCATATTTCTCTATACAGTGTTTTCAGATTTTGTTTTACATCAAGTGATATAACTGGCATAAAGTGTCTTGAAGCTGTTTGTATTCGTCTCCATTCTCAATCTAATTTTCTAGGCTTCATGCTTGTTTTAAGCCATAGTCTGTCATTCTTAAATGTTTCAGGGCTTCCGTTGTGATCATACAGACTACAATAATTTTCCTAAAGTCAGCTGCTACTTAAAGACTTCTCTGTAAAAATGGAAATGTGGGCTGGGCACCAGTGGCTCACATCTGTAATCCTAGCTATTCAGGAGGCTGAGATCTAAGGATTGCAGTTCAAAGCCAGCCTAGTAGGAAAGTCTGAGACACTTATTTCCAGTTAACCACCAGAAACCTAGAAGTGGCCTTGAACTGAGCGTTAAGCCCCATGAACTATCAAAAAAAAGGGAACATGGTTCAATTGTAGATAGAATTTAGGATTACAGTTAATAGACTCTAGTTAAGGCAAAGTGCTTGCCTTAACATGCCTGAAATCCGGATTGACAAGCACCATAAATAAATAAATAGGCTTTTTGACAACATTTCTCATGATGGTATTCTGAATATAGGGCAGTGATATATGTTTATCATTTTTGGAAAGTTTTAATGAAAAAAATTAAGCACTATTTTAGTGCTTGTTACTTAATGCTGCTTTGATGTTGTCTTCCTAAAACACATTTAAATTAAAATGCCGAGTTATCAAATCCTCATTTGGTTGAGTTATTGCTTCAGGTTGTATTCCTTCTTAGCAGATACTTTGACTGGATTTTTCCACTGTGATTTTAAATTGCACTTTTCTAATAACTACCTTTTCATTTACTTATTTGCATCTATATATTATCTTTTGTGAAATGTCCAAGTCTTGTCCACTTCATTAAGTCATCTTTTAAGTTTTTAAGATATAGCTGATAATAATCTCTTTTCAAGAGTCAGTACAGCTTGCTTATTTCTTTTTTCTTTTTTCTTTTTTTTTTTGTCGGTCGTGGAACTTGAACTCTGGGCCTGGGCGCTGCCCTCAGCTCTTCAGCTCAAGGCAACGCTCTACCACTTGAGCTACAGCGCCACTTCGGTTTTCTGGTGCTTTATTGGAGATAGGAGTCTCACGGTCTCTCCTGCCCCGGCTGGCTTTGAACCGCGATCCTCAGATCTCAGCCTCCTGAGTAGCTAGGATTACAGGCGTGAGCCACCAGCGCCCGGCTAGCTTGCCTATTTCTTAGTTTTGTGTGTGTGTGTGTGTGTGTGTGTGTGTGTGTGTGTGTGTGTGTGTGTGTGTGTGTGTGTGTGTGTGTGTGTGTGTGCGTGCGCGCGCGCACGCACACACATTCAGGTACCTGAGCAAGTACTGATCCTGGAGCTTGAATTCAGGGCCTGGGCACTCTGCCTGAGCCTTTTACTCAAGGCTGGTACTCTTCTTCTTGAGCCACAGTTCTACTTCTGGCTTTTTTTTTTTTGGTCCGGTCGTGGGGCCTGAACTCTGGGCCTGGGTGCTGTTCTTCAGCTCAAGGCTAGCGCTCTACCACTTGAGCCACAGCTCCACTTCCGGCTTTTTTTCTTTTTGCTTATGTGGTGCTGAGGAATCGAACCCAGGGCCTCAGGCATGCAAGGCAAGCGCTCTACCACTGAGCCACCTTCCCAGCCCTACTTCTGGCTTTTTGATGGTTAATTGGAGATGAGAATCTTATAGACTTTTGCCTGTGCTGGCTTTGAACCTTTTCCTCAGATCTCTGCCTCCTGAGTAGCTAGGATTATAGACTTGAGCCTCCAGCACCTAATTGAGCTACAATTCTTTAACATGTGAACAAATAATTTAAGCATGGGGAAGAAATAGGAGTCATGGGTACTTGATAGATTTCATTTATGACTGCTGACATTATTGACATATGCTCAATTTTAGTTAACCATTATGAGAGAGGAAGCATTTTTCTTCATTGTCAAACGCAAACGATATTTTCTCTGTTTGAATCCCTTGACATTTAGTGGTCTTTTGTATTAAATTGTTTACTCTGTGTATTCTTATGCCATTTACCCTAAGAAACCTACATTTAAGGAACTTCTCTTTTCCAGTTGAGAGCTGGCATGTGGGCTTTATGCCAAGGATCAATTGACTTTTTCTATGGAAAATGGATTTTTTTTTTGTTAGTTGTACATGTTCCCTGTTAACAGTGAAAAGGAAATAATCTTGTACTTCTTTTCAGTATATAAGGAGTATAATGTGAGGCCTATAGAATGAGAAAGGCTGTTTTATTCCATCTACTTCCTTTACATGTGCATTTTAAACTCTCTTTTCAGTAGCATATATTAATTGTGCAAAATAATGAATTTAAATAGGACACTTTTGTATGCATATATATTGTACTCTGATATTTTTTTGTGGGGGAGAGGGGCCAGTCATGCAGCTTGAACTCAGGGCCTAAATGCTGTCCCTAAGTTCTTTTGCTCCAAGGTTAGCACTCTACCACTTTGAGCCACAGCACCTCTTCTGGTTTTCTGGTGGTTAATTGGGGATAAGAGTCATGGACTTGCTGGGAAGTTGCTCAGTGGTAGAGCGCTTGCCTTGCATGCCTGAGGCCCTGGGTTCGATTCCTTAGCACCATATAAGCAAAAAGAAAGAAAAGCCAGAAGTGGCGCTGTGGCTCAAGTGGTAGAGTGCTAGCCTTGAGCTGAAGAGCTGAGGGACAGCACTCAGGCCCAGAGTTCAGGCCCCACAACCAGACCAAAAAAAAAAGAGTCATGGACTTTCCTGTCCAGGCTGGCTTTGAACTGCATTCCTCAGATCTCAGCCTCCTGAGTAGCTAGGATTATAGGTATGAGCCATTGAGCCTACCTTACTTACTGGCTTACCCTCTTTTGTGCCCCGTACCTCTTTTCAAGTAGTCCTCGTTCTCTTCCTTTTTTTTTTTTTTTATCTAAGTTAAGCATTGGAGAGAAAACATGCGGTAGTTATCAGAGTCTGGCTAATTTTGCTTGTGATCCCTTACAAGAGAGTTACTGTGGGCATACTTGTGTTTATGCATATCCTGACAACATTTGAATGGACATGTGAGGAGACCTTGCGTAAAACCTCAACAAGCATTTACGTGATCAGCTTTTCTGTTTCCGCAGGAGTCCCCCCAGGACAGTGCTATCACTCGAGATATTAACCGGACATTCCCAGCTCATGATTACTTCAAGGACACAGGAGGAGATGGCCAAGATTCCTTATATAAAATATGCAAGGTATTTCATATAAAAAGGCCAGTTTTGACTGAAATTATATAAAAGATAACTACAGAAGAGTAATTTGTATTTGATGCTCCAAGATGAGGGGATAAAAGAGGGAGAAGACTTTATAAAATCAAATGTAGCAATACAATTTTAGACTCTTGAAAGAAAAGAAAATAATTAGAAATAAAATGGCATCTTTTTTTTTGGTATCCCCTAACCCCTTTCAATCAGGATTTTCAAACAACAGTCTCCTGACTTCACATTTATACTTTCAAAAATTGAGTTAACAATCTCAGAGCCCTGTAACATTGCAAACTCCTTTTCGGTATTCACATTGTAAATGCTAAACTTGGCACTTTGGGCATGGCCCGACAGTGGAATGTGTCAGAGGGGGTGTGTAGCATTGCAGCATAGTAAGTGATGTTAAGTACTGATTTCTGTCCAAATAAAATAGGTACCTGAACACTAAAGGAAATGACAGCCCTTTCAGTCTAAATAATCCATTTTAAAAATTTTGCTTCATTAACACTATAAGAAATTAGAATCTGGCCGGGCGCTGGTGGCTCACACCTGTAATCCTAGCTACTCAGGAGGCTGAGATCTGAGGATCACGGTTCAAAGCTAGCCCTGGCAGGAAAGACTGTGAGACTCCTATCTCCAATAAACCACCAGAAAACCGGAAGTGGCGCTGTAGCTCAAGTGGTAGAGTGCTGGCCTTGAGCTGAAGAGCTGAGGGACAGCGCCCAGGCCCAGAGTTCAAGTCCCACGACCGACCAAAAAAAGAAAAAAAAGAAATTAGAATCTGAAGTTTTCAAGTTTGCCCTGCATATTTTTAAGAAGTTGTTTAAATTTTTATGATCAAAAAGACAAAAGTAACAACTAGTTTTAAGACAGACTGGAAATTAAGGCTAAATTAAAAGATTAAATGGTTAAATTAGATGATCTGAACTATAAAGGCAGTTAGAGATTAAAGAAATCATTCTTGGGTTTAATGTTAAGTTTTCCATAAGACACACAATGCTATAATTTTGCCATGATCTTCTCTGATCATCCTTATTTAGCCACTTCTCCATCATATTACCACCACTTAAGCAATCATTGTGGCCATCATCTACTGCAGACTACCCAAAAGGGAACTGCATTCCTACATACCCGTGCTAGTCGGTGATCTTCTTGCCACTCCTTCTGTCAGACTTTCCCTGCTCCTGGTTATACCTTCATCTCTCTCAACTTTAGCAACAGCTCTGCTGTTTTCTCTCTTGTTCCCTGCTCCTACAACAGAGGTCTTCCCCTAGTTGTTCACTTGGTAGTTCCTCTAGCTAGAGGTCCCTCCCACTATTGTGCAGGTTTTCCCAAGTCTGCATTAGCTCAGAGCCTAAATTCCAGGCTGCCACATCGTCTCCATGTCAGAGGCTGTCAGTACATGGAACAAAATAAGTCTTAAAGTAGAATCCATTTAAAACACATTTTATTATGGAACAGTTCAAACACACTGATTCAATATTTGCCAACATATTGCCACAGTTGCTTCATCTACCTGCCTCTTTTTTTTTCTTTTCCTAAAGTACTACAAAGCAGATCTCAGGCATCATAATCCTAAATTTTTCCCTGTACATATTTGAAAAATAAGATTATTATCTATCTATGCCATTTAGTAACCAGCTCTATATTCATATATACCTGAGTTTTCTTTTATAGTTGGTTGCAATCAGGATCCAGCAAAATCTGTTTTATATTTGATTGCCATATCTCTTTTTATTAAAAGTGTTCCCCCCTTCCCTGTGCCACCATCTTGCTGGAGATCTACTTATTTCTGTTTCAGTTCTTTTGTTGAGGTTGTTAGGTGCAGTTGATGTCCTTTACAACTGTACATTTATTGTCTAGTGCCCTTGCTCAGGCCCTGTTGTATGTTACTTTTCCAAAAACTACCTTGACTTTGCCTCCTTGACTTTGGGTTCTAACCTAGATTTGATTGGCTACACTGTTGTCCCAGAATTGGATCATTTCTGTAGCCGCCACAGAACCTTCAGTGTTTAGCCCAATAAAATGAAGTAAGAGCTCCTCAGTTCATTTTCTGGTCCTAGATTCCTTAATTATTGTGGACAATATTTTATAATATAATTTCCTGCCTTATTCTTTGCTGCTGCTTGTCTCCACGAACTTCTCACTGCACTCCGCTTATTGATTTGTCGCTATCTTCCACTGAACTGGGAAGTTTCCCAAGACAGAAGTCATTTTATATGTGCTTACATCTGCAGCATTTTTTGGCACATTACTTGACATATAGCAGGTTTAGTAAGTGTTGAATTAGTGAAATGTCTTGTCTTTCATATGCTGCTTCATAGACCCATGAACCTTATCTTTCAAATGTCTCCCAGATGCATCATACTTTCACGCCTCCATGCACTCCTCCAGGCTCTTCAGTCAACCTGGAAAATATTCCCTCTGTTCTTTTCATGTGGAGATTCCATACATTTTCATCCTGTTAAGCTCTATGCTAAGCACTTGAGGTGACAGGACTGAATGAGGATAGGAAGTCAAGTTCATAATGCCAATTGCATGAGACTAAGGCCGATTAACTCAACATATTTTTGTAAATAATAAACCACAGATTGAGACCTACAGAAATATTACTAAAGAGCTATATTGGCGGGGTGCCAGTGGCTCACGCCTGTCATCCCAGCTACTCAGGAAGCTGAGATCTGAGGATTGCGGTTCAAAGCCAGCCCGGGCAGGAAAGTCCATGAGACTCTTATTTCCAATTAACCACCAGAAAACCAGGAGAGGCGGTGTAGCTCAACTGGTAGCTGAAGAGCTGAGGGACAGCACCAGAGTTCAAGTCCCAAGACCAACAACAATAACCAAAAAAAAAAAAAAAAGAGGAAGAAGAGCTGTATTGGCATATGTTACTATTTGAGGCTGAGTACTATTCCTGAATTTTTTTGCTCAAGGCTAGCACTCTACCAGTTGAGCCACAGCACCACTTCTGGTTTTCTGTGGTTTATTGGAAATAAGAGTCTCCTGAACTTTACTGCAGGGGCTGACTTCAAACCACAATCCTCCAGTATCAGCCTCCTAAGTGGCTAGGACTACAAGTGTGAGTCACTAGTGCTTAGCACTATTCATTTTTAATATAATCTTAGCAATATTGGCACTAACATTTGTTCTTACTACTTTGAGAGGTAGAAGGTGTTGCCTCATTGTATTCCAATTATATCCTCTCTAAAGCCTTCTCTGCACAAGTTGTCTGTAGAAAAGTACACGTGTGACTCATGTATACCTCGCCCTCTCATCAGAGAAGTGTAAAAAGATGGGAAAAGTCTAATGGAATATACGATATAAATGGGCTTTTTTTTTACTTCTCGGCAGTACTGAGGTCTGAACTCAGGGCCTCATACTTGCTAGGCAGACTTTCTATCATGGAGTCAGGTCTTCACCTCCCCTCCACAATCTTTTGTGCCAGTATTGAAGCTTGAACCCAGGGCCTTGAGCTCTAAATAAGGCTGCCACTCCATCCATTGAGCTACATCTCTTCTTCCAAGTTTTCGCTGGTTAATTGCAATAAGAATCTCTCAGATTTGTCTCTCAGATTTGTCTGGCTTCAAAAACTGCAATCCTTAGTAGCTAGGGGTATAGGTGTGAGTAACTGACACTCAGCTGGGTTTTTTCCATTTGGTTTTATGTTTTGAGATAGGGTCTTACTTCCTGCTTAGACTGTCATTCACCTACTTTTCGGTATAAAGTTGCCATAATTGAATGGCAGGTGCACACTACCATGTCCAGCTGTTGGTCGAGAAAGAACCTTGCAGACTTTTTTTTTATCATTCTGGCTTCAAACCAGATGATGGTCTGTCTTAATAGCTGGATTACAATAAGTGTGAGGCACCAATGTCCAGTGATTACATCTGTTTTTAAAAGGTAGATTTTGACTAAAAGATAGAAACCTATTGATAATACTAATGTAGTTGTCATCTGATAAGCAGCAGTGCAGCAGTTTCATAAAAGGTACATTCTTAACATACTCAATTCTTAAGGTTGTTTTCTTGGGACACAGGAACTTTAACACACAAAGACGTAAGTGGAGAATAAAGAAAGTTTCACCAGAAGTAAGTTGTCAAAAGGGAATAACGTCCTGAATCTGGAGGGTTTCCCTTTTCTACCAGTTTGCATAAGAATGACCAATACCCATCATTACAACAGACCTCTGAAAAATAGCTAAAAGCCCCAGGAATGTTAGATGCCAGTATTGTTTTCAATATTCACAGGAGATGGGTATTACTCACCTTCAGCCAAGAAAAATAAAAATAAGAATTCCAGAGAAATTCAGAGCAATCACTCTTATCAGCAAAGTTATTACTGGCAATAAAAGATTATATTTTGGTATATTTGCCAAAATGCTTTTTTTCTCAGAAGGAAAAATGAATAATGTTGAGAGTGTTAATGAACACCTATTATGTGAAAGATGCATAGAGCCATCGCCTCCGTCCTTAGTCCACTAGAGAAGATGGACACTAGAAGTGCAGTGCGGTCAGTGCCATAATAATCATGAAATAATAAGCCCTCAGAGGCACAGATAAGAGAAGGATTAATTCTGGACAATTTGGAACATGTTGAAGGCTTGAAGGAAGAAAACACTTTTTAGTTAGAGAAGAGGGAAAAGGACATCCTAAGGGTACAATATGAGCAGTGACAAGGATCTCCTAAAACGGCTCAGGTAGGTTCTCAGCCTCTTCCAATTCTTAGCCACAGGAAATGGCAAGGTCACTATTTTATTTATCATAAATTTTAAAAATGCGAATTGGAGAGAGATTTTAAAGTTATGCATTGGCCATCATAATGCTCAAGTAGGGTTTGGGTACCATCCTCCAGGCTCCTGCGTTCAAGGTCCTCTAGGGCCATCATTGCCCACGAGTGGCTATATTCAGCTAAACTTCCTGTTTTTTCTCCCCACCTCCAGGCTTATTCTGTGTACGATGAAGAGATTGGCTATTGCCAGGGCCAGTCATTTCTTGCTGCTGTGCTGCTTCTCCATGTGAGTAACTAGGCGTCTGTTACAGCTTACACATGTCCTGTCTTAGTTCACATAAGCTTTAGTCCGAATTTTAGATTGAATTCGGCCACATTCTCAGATATACCTGGATCCTTTTTCCTTAATTTTGTATCATCAAAGAAGAAAAGCACTGGTAATAAATGATACTCTTCCTTTTTATTGGGATGATTTGGATAGACTTGAACATTGTCTGGCCCTCGAGAACATTTTCCCGTCTCTGAAGTAGCCACTGTCACTAATATTTGTTTGGGGATTTACATATTGGATAAGTGAAGAGCAACAAAGATAAGTTTCTTTATTATTATGTTATTTGTGTGTTCATTTGACAAAGATCTTTACCCTCCAGATGTTCAGTTTTCTTTTAAATCCTACGAATGATGAACTCACATTAAGCTGACTCTCCCATATTCAGTACTGTCATCAGTGTTTTCCGCACCCATCATCTCTCTTTTCATCTCCCTCTTTCTTTGTTTCCACGTGTTTTATGTTTTTTTTAAAAAATATTTTATTAAGGTCTTGCACAGAGATTATCATTCTGTTTTATATTTTATTGGGGAAAAAACATTATTTTTTGAAGGGAAGTAGACAAACACCAACACATTTCACTCCTAAGTACCAGGACAGGGGCATTCTGCCACATAATCGTCACATGATGTCGATCACTGACATTGATCAGCAATGTCTCACACAGTCCACATTCGGTTTTCTCCCATTCACCCAGCAGCTCCTTTATAGCCCCCTTTTTTTTAACCACTGAAGATTCACACATTACATTTGGTTGTCATTTCTCTTTATTCTTTTTTTTTTTTTTTTGGTCGGTTGTAAGTCTTGAACTCAGGGCCTGGGCGCCGTCCCTGAGCTTTTTCACTCAAGGCTAGTGCTCTATTTGAGCCTCGGTGCCACTTCCAGTTTTCTGATGATAAATGGGAGATAAAAATCTCATGGACTTTCCTGCCGGTGCTGGCTTCAAACAACAATCCTCAGATCTCAGCCTCCTGAGTAGCTAGGATTACAGGTATAAGACACTGGCACTTGACATTTTCTAGGTTTGATCTGAGCACATATACACTACACATACCCCAGATACAATGCATGTAAGGTGTTTAATATACTGCCTTGCATATAGTAGATGCTTAATAAATGTCAGCTGTTAGTATCATTACCAAAAGGACTAGGTGAAAGTCTGCCAGGAAATATTCAGAGTCACAGGGTAAGTGTGGAATATAAAATATTCCAGGAATATCTTTATATTGATAAGCTAGGGTTTTCTGACTTTATTTCTCTGGTGCCAGTACTGGGTTTTTGGTGATTAATTGGAGGTAAGAGTCTCACAGACTTTTCCTGCCTGGGCTGGCTTTGAGCCATGATCCCCAGATCTCAACTTCCTGAGTAGCTAGGATTACAGGAGTGAGCCATCAGCACCCGGCAGTCTTTATTCTTTTAATCTAAACTACCTTCTTACCTTTAAAAAAATGTATTCCAGGACTGTGATAGTTTCAGAAAATTCAAGCAAACTGTCTTGTAAGGTACTCCACATTCTTAATATATTACATCTTGAAGGATTCCTCCTATAATTTAAAATTTGTGGACAGCTGATGTCTGCAGAGTTTATGAGGGCAATGTTGAAGGTCACAGGTGAATTGTAGACATGGTAGAGAGTTAATGATTCTACCTAGCTGTAAGCAGATAATTCTGCAAGTCTGTCATTAGGAATTTCAGGGGTGTCATGAAGGTAAAATAAGAGTTTTGGCAAATGTAAGAATAAAACAGAGAGCCTCATTAAAGATTTAAACCTCCTCTGGGGAGTTAACCTTTGCATTGCATCCTGAAAAACAGGGACTGTCATTCTCTTTTGCAAGTTTCAGTACCATTAACTTTTTCCTTTTTTATGTTGCTATGGAAATAATAGTTATTTTTAAAGCAGGAGAGAAAAGAGTGGAACATTGCTGGCAAAAGAGATAGCAAAGTATGTAAGAGCCCTGACGTGGGGAAGCACTTGCGTATAGAAGGAATTAGAGGAAGGCAGCGGACAGTAGCCGTGTGGAGGGGAGAGGGGGCCTGAGGCCAGGAGAGAGCCCGCACATTGTTTTCCTCAGCCCTGGGAAGCCAAGACTTGGTGACATATTGTGACAGTCGCCATGTGGGTAAAACAAAAGCCACCTTGTTTCTTCTTGTGAACTCAGCTTGGTGGTATTGTGGTCATGTAAAAGTATGCCAAACTTTGATATTAATAATGAGATCATTTTTTGTTGTGTTTTAGTCAGACATCGTAGCTCAGAATCCTGAGGTTTAGCTTCCTTCACAGATTAAGCCCAAGAACATTTATCCCCATGTAATATCATAACACCTTGAAAATAGCTTTCCCAAACTCTCAGTGTCTTGTTTTGAGCTCTGTGCTGCTAAGTGTTTGTGTGCCGTGGATCAGCCGCCCGGCCTGAGAAATGCCTCGCGGCTCAGGCTCCCTTTTCCTCACAGGAAGAGAGTGAAGCTGCCTTTCATGCCAAACCCCTCGGAAGATTGGTCTTTCTTCTGTCCCAGCCACTCTTACCTTTCCAATAATAATCTGCTGTGCTCTTTTCAGTTACTGCCTGATCTGATTTGCTCTTTAGCTGTTTTATTCTTGGTGATTTCTGTGCTCTGAGCTGCTCCATCATCTTGTTCCATAGAAGCTCGCCCACCTTCTTGACTTTTTTGAAAGTTTGCTGCAGTCACACCAAGCCTTAAATAACATAGCCAGTGCTCTTCTTCTGTGTTGAAAACTAGACATCTTGCCAGTTTCTCAAAAAATAGTTTTCTATAAATCTCTGGATGAATCCACATTTTATTGTAAGTGGAAGTGGAGTTTTTGTAGCACTTTGACCGTTATTGCAAAAAGTACTATAGCACTGTAAGCATTCTTACAAGCCTTAGAATATGTAATATTCTCCAGCAAGCTATGTTTTTGCCAAAGAGGGAGAATAACTATAGTTGTATTAGAGTGACTATTAGGAACTGAGGGAGATAACAGATAGAACTGAGGCGTTCCAGTTTGTGAACGATGAGACCTATTCTGGGTATCAGCCTGATCTTCTCAAGTCCTGTCTTCCACACAAAGCTTGTTCCCTGACTTCCTGCGAGAGACACAGGCCTCACTGTGATCCTACCGATCCTTTCTGGTTCATCACAGTTAATTTATTCTAGCTGTAGGGAGGCTCTTGGAGGGCAGCAGCAGTGCTGGCAGACAGTAGGCATCATTACACATTTCTTTGCTGAGTGAATAAATATTATAAAATAGAGCTTTAGGCCTGAGTCTTCATATGCCACTTCATCTCCTGGTAAGACAAATGAAAGATGAATTTAATATGCAGAGTGCTCTGTGATTCACGACCCACCCTTTTCTCTCCCCCCATTGCCTATCTGTTACAGATGCCTGAAGAGCAGGCATTTAGTGTTCTAGTCAAGATCATGTTTGACTATGGTCTCAGGGAACTTTTCAAGCAGAATTTTGAAGATTTGCATTGCAAATTTTACCAGTTGGAGCACCTGATGCAGGTAAGGAGAATTCAACCTGAGTTGGACTTTATAAAGATGCAGGACAAGGTGAGCTAGATTAAGGACATGATACCATCTGTGGAAAAGGATGGGTTTTATTTCTGTCATGTCTCACTATGTGATGAGAATGCTAAGATCTAACAGTGCGAACCTGGTGGGTGTGAGTTTGGTTTTCAGTCTTATAAATAACCAAAAGAAGAAATGACTGTAGAGACCTTTTCCATAGCAAAGCCAATGAAGAAATATTCATCAGGCTCTGACTGGTTGGGAATCTCATAACAGAAGTGAAACCCACTTTCCCAGACATTTCATAACTTAGAAATAAAAAGTAGCTTTCCAAATACTTTTCGCTATTGGAGGGCTTCCTCTTCAGACCTACTTCATGGTGTGTAAAGGGAGAGTTGAATGCCAGCTTAACACCAGATAAGTATTCTTCTGAGCACTTTGGAGATTTTTAGAAAAACACAAGTATGTGACTTTTTTTTTTTTTTTTTACCAATTGCTGGCAGATTTGTGAGCCCCGTGAGACACAGTAGGACAGCTAGCTGCATGTGTGCCCAAATCTAATTAGTTTGCTATTTCAGGAATACATTCCTGACCTGTACAACCACTTCCTGGATATCAGCCTTGAAGCACACATGTATGCCTCCCAGTGGTTTCTTACTCTTTTTACTGCAAAATTCCCTCTCTACATGGTCTTCCATATCATCGACCTGCTCCTATGTGAGGTAAGTATTAATTCTGTCAATGCCCAGTGTGAACTTTGTCAAAACAGTCAGTCTTATGTTAGTTCTGGGAAATCCACACCAAAATGGCCCTTATGCAGTCTAAACTAATGCTTACATTTGTTAAAAAGTATAAAATAAAATCACAGTGACTAAGTTCAATAGAGGTTTCTTTCTCACGTAGATAGGCAGAGTTGGCAGTAGTCTATCTTTCCAGAGGATGGTCTTGTCTTTAGATAGAGTAGAACTCTAGTCTTTGTGTTGTGTTTAGGCTGGGATGAGTGGGGGTGGGCGGTGTCCAGGGCATCTTCCTCACCTCCCCATTCCTCACTTCGTAGCCCCGTATGGCCTTAAACTCTCAATCCTACTCTGATATCCTCCCAGGTGCTGCAGTTATAAGCATGTTCCACTATGCCTGGCTTTACATCTTCTCTTTTTAAAAGAAACCTTGGAAATTATACCCAACATTTTTATGGAGTAACCAAAACTTAGTTAAATGACCACACCAGCCACCAAGGAGTTTTTTCTTGCGTTGTGTTGTTTTAGTCTGGGTAGGAATTTGCTAGAAATGAGGGAGTTACTACTAAAGAAAATAAATATATTAGCATAAATAACAGTCCTTGATATATCATAATTTGGGGTTTTGAAGGGTACATACCTGTTGAGGAACAAACTATAAAATAATGTTTGTTATAGAAACTTTACAAGATAAAACACTCCCAGGATCCTGCTTTATAACAGTTTTGTGTGGATTCTTTGAGTCTTTCTTTGCATTCATATATTTATATGTATGATTTCTATGTGGAATATGATGTTTTTCTATTCAGAGTATTATGTGTATAATGGATCTAGATGTATATGTTGAATAATACAAGTATGTCATAGACATAGTTTTTTCATTTTATGTACTTGAACATCTGTAGACACATACATATCTGTACTATACTTTTTGTTGGGATTGTACTACATTCAAAGCATACAAAAATCCATAAGCCAAGCGCCAGTGGCTCATGACTGCAATCCTAGTCACTCAGGAGGCTGAGATCTGAGGATCACAGTTCAAAGGCAACCAGGCAGGAAAGTTCATGGGACTCTTATCTGCAATTAACCACAAAAAAAGCCAAAAGTGGTGCTGTGGCTCAAGTGGTAGAGCACTAGCCTCGAGCAGAAAGGAATTCAAAGACAGGGCCCCCAGCCCAGAGTTGAAGGCCCAGGACTGGAAAAAAAAGTTAACAATATACTATTATTCTAACCTGCCTCCAAGTCCAGATTTATTTGGATATGACATAATTTATATAATCACAAATCTGGTATCAAGCCTGTAAATTTTGTTGTCACAAATGTGAACAACCATCTGTTAGGTAATCACTGAGGTCCAGGTGGTATACTAAGGGATTTGCATAAACTTTATAACTAATTATCTCAGAAAACCCTCAGGGGGAATTAGTTACAGAAACAGAGCTCTAGAAACTTGCAGATTACTTTGATGGGGTGTTAGTGCCTCCCCTCCCTGTGTGTGTTCCTTGCCTTTATGTTTCCCAGATTAGTCAGATGAAGAATATCAACTCTGAGGGAGCCCAGAGCAAATTCAGTTTTGGGATGTAGGGTTCATGGGTGATCACAGGACACAGGAAAGTTCACCACTAGTAATTGCCTGATAGGACATGATTTTATGACTGATTTTTTATTTTTATTTTTTTTTGGTTTGGAATTATGGACTATTTGGAAGAGCATTATTTCTTGTTGAATATGAGAATAGGGCTAGAAAAGTTCTCCTTTTTGAAAAACCTGAGGCTGGATCTTCTTTTAAGTGCTTTTTAGTCATACGCCACAGCCTTTGCTTTTCAAGATAGGTCCAGTACAGTACATTCTTTACTTACGTTTCATGGTTTCTCTACAATGGTGGAATATTTCAAAGAAAAATGGCAGAACAGTCTACGCAGAACACTGAACATGTTCTTCTTGTCTTTTCTCCTTCAGGGAATAAGTGGCATTTTTAATGTCGCCCTTGGATTGCTAAAGGTATGTGTCCCTTTGCGAGCCGCATTGTCTGCCCTCCCCAGTAAGCACTGCAGTGTCTCTGTCAAAGTCTCATTCTAAGCTTTTTCTGTGCTCTAACATTTTCCCGAACAGGGAGAATGTACAAGTAAGTGACTCTTTTAAAACCAGAATCATAAAATGCTTCTTGTGTCTCTTCAGGTCAAACCTGTTTTCTATATGTAATTTCTTACTTTCTTCAAGACTTCCAGGGATGACCTGCTATTGACAGACTTTGAAGGCGCCTTGAAGTTCTTCAGGGTTCAGCTTCCTAAAAGATACCGCTCAGAAGAAAATGCTAAAAAACTAATGGAATTAGCTTGCAACATGAAGGTAATAAAATTTTTGCATTAGTAAAGAGTCTTCTCAGTAAATGTCTTACATTTTCCTGGTGAAACTATTACCCTTTATAAGATGTAATATGATAACCTAGGTTGAGAATATCTTATCCCAGTTGCTTACTGCCATGATTTCGATTTCAATATTTTTAAAAAAAATTTTGATATATTTGTGTATTTATAAATGCAGCATCTTGTGGATGGAACCCGAGTCTAACTCCCAAAGTTATTTATATTTCATATGCACCTGTTAGCCTGGAGGTAATTTTATACAGTATTTATTGTGCCTGTGTTTGGCTATGACACATCACATGCAGTAAGGTGTGAGTATCTGTGGGTTCCACCTCTGGAGACACAACCAACTGTGGATTGAAGATAATAAGAAAAATTGCACATTTATAGACATTCCTTGTCACTATTTCATAAGTAATGCACTTGAACAGCTATTTACATGGCATTCAAGTGTACTAGATATTATATGTCACCCAAGATTAGGTAAAGTATATGAAAGAATTGTGCAAGTTGTATGCCAACACTCTACCATTTTATATAAGAGATTTGAGCATTCTCTGATCTGAGGGGGAGCTTGGTTTTGTTTGGAATTTGGTGTGGAGGCAAGTAGAGGGTGCAGAATATATAGTTGTATTTAGATAAGCATATGGTACTTAAAAGATAGTTATGTTCACTTTCTATAACTCCAGATAGAAAAAGTAGGATCAGTAGGTCAAGACGGTTATGCCAGACTAAACTTGTATCCTTTTTAAAATGGAGCCAGAACCCTGGCCTCAGGAGTCTGAAGTCCAAGCTGCTCCAGTCTTATTTAAGGTTTCATTCCTTTATCTGTAAATAATACTGTAAAATTCTGTTTAAGTGTCAGATTGAGGTAATTCATGCTACTTTTCTTTTCCTCCTCCTCCTTTTGCTCCTTCTGCTTTTTTTTTTTTTTTTTGGTTAGTCGTGGGGATTGAACTTAAGGCCTAGGCACTGTCCCTGAGCTCTCTTGCTTTGAGTCTATCACTCTGTCATTTTGAGTCACAGCTCTGGTTCCAGTTTTCTATTGGTTAATTGGAGATAAGAGTCTCACGACTTGCCTGTCTGGGTAGCTTTGAACCTCGTTCTCAGATCTCAGCCTCCTAAGTATAATTATAGGCAAGAACTACCAGTTCCTGGCACTTACTTCTTTTAACACATAACAAGACTAGATACAGTATAACCTAACTAATGTTTAAATAACCTAGATGCATTTGAAATGAAAAAGAAAGCTACAGGTACTTGGAAGAAAGCAGTTCAAAGGTAATAATATATAAATGGATACCTCCACATCCCAAAGGATTCTGGGACCACTCATTCCTAGTGTTCTACTGCTCATACACAGCATGTATAGAGGGCATGATTTGGGGCTTCCAGGAGCCATCTGAAACTGAGAACTACATACAGCTAGAACTTGGCAGTGGTTTCTTGCTCTGTTAACAGGAGAATACAAAAACTTTTCCTATTAGCCTAAGGGACAGTAAAAATACAAAATGAGTAAAATGAGATTATTTGAAAGCAAGAAAGAGAACTTCTAGAAATTAGTCCTTGAAATTTCTCTTCAAATTAAGATGTAACTATGTGTAAGTGCTGTGGTTAAGGGAAAGTGTATGTGCAAATTAGCTACAATATCGTAGTGCCTGGACATTAGTAAGGGTTCAAGAAATGATAGCCACTGCTATAATAAGTTCTTCTCTGGTTTTTCAAGCAATCACCAGATAATATCCACAAATGTGCTCAAGGAAAATAGGTTTGTACTAAGCACGGTTCTGACAGAACTTCCCCACCTCACCCTGGCTCAGCACACAAGAAAGGAGCCTCTTTTTTGCTCCTTATTTCTCCCCCTACAAAAGAAAAAAAAAAAAAAAAAAAAACATGCTGTTCTCCAATATCCCCATCTCGGGTTCTTGACACCCATGACTCTTTCTTCCATTACATCTTCACACTCCACATCCCAGCTGTCAGGAACATCCCCATCTCACTGTCATGCCCCTGGCTTTTCTCCACCCCTTCCCTCCCTTAAAACCTTCTAGTATGCCTCATCTCACTGCAGAATTGAGGAGTTCTGACCCGGCCCACAAGGTCTGGCAGTCACATACATTGTCCACAAGGTCTGGCCTTGTCAGTGTCTGACTTTCTCTGATTCCTGATTCCCTCTCCTATGGTTCTCTCCATTGCCCTTTCCACGTCAGACCCCCTGATTGCCGCCATTGTCAGACCTGCTAAGTATGTTCACCCTCAGGCCTTTGAATAATCAGCTGTTTCTTGTGGTTCTCATATTGGCCTGGCTGTCTGTGTGGCAACACTCTTATTTCATCCCTTCTCCGGCTCAGGTATGAGGGAAGCGATGTCAGGGCTTTCTGTGGAAGCTCTCTATGCCATTAACTTCTGTCACAGCTTCCCCCACTGGAAAGGAGGCTCAGCAGCAGAAGGGACTTTTTGGCATCGTGCTCACTGCCAAATCCTTAACAGCAAAATAAGATCTGGTATATAAATACCAATTCAATGAATGCATATATGTGCTGTTGAGTTTCTACTCAGTATTTTACAAAGAAGGTTTCAGCCAGCAGGACTTAAAACCAGCTTTCAGCCAGAAGTTTTACCTTCTGTATTTTTTTTATTACTTTCAAGCACCTTAATAATAGGTCCTTTATTATTATTATTTTGTTGTTGTTGTTGGCCTGGGCGCTGTCCCTGCACTCTTCATCTCAAGGCAAGCACTCAACCACTTGAACCACAGTTGCCACTTCCAGTTTTCTGGTGGTTGATTGGAAATAAAAGTCTCACCGACTAGCTTTGAACCTGGGTCCTCAGCTCTCAGCCTCCTGAGTAGCTAGGATTACAGGCGTGAGCCACCAGCACCCGGATCTGTGGCCTTTATTTTTACAGTACAAATATATAGCATCTGATGTGTTTTTATTCCTGGCCTGTGTTTTCAATGAGTTATGGCTAACCAAGTTCCTTCACTATGTCTGTACAGTATGTCTATTTCATGCCTAGATGTGAAATCTTTCCAGTTCTTCCCGCTTGGGGAACTTTTGTATATTTGAGGTACACCTGGAATGATTCCCCCTAAGTGAGACAGTAATTTTTTTCTGCAATTCATAGAAAGCCTAAGTTTTATCAGGACATGACAGAAAAGTTGTTCTGCTAAAAGATGAGATACAGTATATACAGTTTAGTGATGACTGGTTGTCTTACAGGTATACTTAACACCAAGAAATATCAGGGAGACAAAGCATTGGCTGAGTCAGTTACTGCCAAGTGGTCATTCACAGTGGTTATTGCTGACTGAGAGTAAAGAGGGATTGCAGGCAAACACATCGCAAGCCCTGCTCTGTGGAGCAAGTACAGACAGTGCACCTGAGCCCCCTTGGGGAGAAAAGGACGTTCAGGACATGAGTGATGTGGAAACCAGTTGTTGAACTTTTTAGGATGGAATTTGCAAAGGAAATGCTGGCTCATTGATGTCCTATTCTGTTAAATGTTAAATTGTAGCTCAGTTTATTCACTGTGAGGATTGTGACTACCTTGCATCTGAAGATGCCTAGAAAGCCTGTCTAAGAAAGGAAGTAGTATGTGGTCATTGTTGGAGCTTCTGATGTTCCTGTCGTTCTTCCTCACAGCACCCAATCAGGTAGGGCTGGCCAAGTCCTGGGGGACCCAGGCGATACTAGGAGAGCTCAAGCCTTCAGACTGCACATTCTCAATGCTGTCCACTCAGTTCCTCTTACTGCAAAAGTTCAGTGAGATTTAAACATGATGTGGCAGTCTCCAAAATGGCCACAAAATGGGTGTGTTGCTCACAAAGGTCTGCATCCCCTGTGCCCATGGGTCTCTCTCCTATCTACATCTGGCTTTTCTGGGCCTTTTTACCCTCCCCTTCCCTGTATTCTTAAAGCAGACTAACTTGAGACAAATCTTTTATTTCTTGAGGAGTTAGATTTCATGTTCTTAAAATAACATGTATCAAGGTTGATTTTAACTATTTATTGAATTCATTACTCTTTTGGGGTCAGATGACCTGAGATAGATAAATCATTTCGACTGCTAATACCCAGTTCCTCCTCCAGGTCCTGGGGGTTTCGGGAGCCCCACATTTCATATGCACAGTATGTTGTGGATAATCTGTATTTAGAGGGCGATTGAGAAAACACTGCTCAGTCTTTTGTTTTTATTTTTTAAAATTATCTTTAAGTAGTTGTACAGACGAGTTGCCATATAACAAAGCAGTTGATTAATACAGTGCATCTTGATCTGTGTCACCCATGTCATCATTCTCACCCCTCTTCAACCCACTCCTTCCCTTACTTTTCTTTTCTTAATTTCACAGTGAATCCATTGATTTTTTTTTTATTAATTTTTTTTTTTTTTGTCGGTCATGGGGCTTGAACTCTGGGCCTGGGCACTGTCCCTCAGCTCTTCAGCTCAAGGCAAGCACTCTACCACTTGAGCCACAGCACTACTTCCAGTTTTCTGGTGATTTATTGGAGCTGAGTCTCACAGACTTTGCAGCCTGGGCTGGCTTTGAACCGTGATCCTCAGATCTCATCCTCCCGAGTACCTAGGATTACAGGAGTGAGCCCCCCACCCCGCACCCCTGCTATACATAGAATTCTTGATTGCATTCTCCCCAACTATCCCCCTTTGTTTGTGTACTCCCCTCCCCTCAGCCCCTCCCACCTTGGATGTACCCATTCCTGGTACTTACTTTGTTGAGCTTTGACTTAGTCTTTCTAAAAGATTATACTATTTGAGCTCTCCACACAGTCTATTATTCTTTTTCTTTATTTTTGGTCAGTTGTGGGGCCTGAACTCTGGGCCTGGGTGCTGTCCCTCAGCTCTTCAGCTATATATCAGCGCTCTACCACTTGAGCCTCAGCCCCACTTCTGCCTTTTTCTGCTTATGTGGTGCTGAGGAATCGAACCGAGGGCCTTATGCATGCAAGGCAAGCACTCTGCCAC